ATCATGTAAATAGATAAAGGTGATAGATTGAAAGTTCTCCAGGGCTTTACTACTTAAACTGTGTTCTGGGACCAGAACCGCAGGGAAAGTGTGCTGGTGTGGTGGTTCAGGCCTGTAATACCAGTTACTTGGAAGGTTGGGGTAGGAAGATGGGAAGTTGGAGACCAGCCTCCATAATTTAATGAGACCCTGTCTCAAATTTGAAGGAAAAAAAAAATTAAAGGATCAGGATGTGTTAGACTACTTAGGTTCAATACCCAGTCCTCCACCCCCCACCCAGAAAAAGAAAGAAATGCAGGGCCTGAATCAAAATCTGAATTTTAACAAAATTCTGAGGCTATTTATCTCCCCATTAAAGATTTATCTCCCCATTAAAGGTGAGAAGTGCTTCTTTGATCCTTCTGACTTCAGCTGTTCATTCCACTAAGGACACAGGTGCATGTCCATAGCCCAGTGTGAATCCTAACTGTAATTACGACATCTGCCTCAATTTTCCATGACCCAAATGATTCAGTGAGACCTAGTTTAGACATCAGAAAACACAACCTCACCTTATATCTTTTTGTTTAGCGGGGCCCTGTCCAGATCTGGGAAGCAGACCGCACAGTGTGTTTTAGTTTTGTGAACCAAAGAGAAGGACAACAGCAGAGGCTGGAACTACAGAGCAATAGAACTAGGTAGGGGCAGCAGCTTAGCCAAGAGATGTAATCCTGCTTCCTCCAACACACTCCTCCCCAGATCCCAAAGACAAAGTTGACATTGGACTGCCTCCACCCAAGGTCTGCCGGACCCAACAGTTACGCGAACGGAAGCAGGTCCTAAGGGAGCTTCGGGCCAATGTGGAAGAAGAGCGGGCTGCTCGCCTCCGCACAGGTAAGCTCTGACGGGAAGGGTCCTAGGTGGTCCCTGTCCCCACCTTGCATCCAACAGGCCTCACTCCTTCCCAGCCAGCATCCCCCTGGAGGCTGTGCGAGCTGAGTGGGAGAGGACCTGCGGCCCTTACCACAAGCAGCGCCTGGCTGAGTATTACGGCCTCTATCGAGACCTGTTCCACGGTGCCACTTTCGTGCCCTGGGTTCCCCTGCGTGTGGCCTATGCTGTGGGCGAAGAGGACCTGATGCCTGTGTACCATGGCAATGAAGTGACTCCAACTGAGGTACCACGCAGCGTGCCCTTCTCCCAGTCCTGTGTGCACACAGACACATCCCATTGTACCATCACAGCTCCCAGGTGTGGGGTTCTGTGGTTCTGTCTTTTTCATTTTCTGGGAAACACAAAACAGTTACAAAGACAATAATAAAAAACAGGAAAAAGAAGCTCCATCTTTGCACATTCCTGGGACTAGCTACTGTCTAGAGTTTAGTCCCAGGCCTTGTCTCTTGGCACATGGTCCCTTTTGCATTTAGATCTCACGACAGACAACTCTTCAGGGCTCCTTCTGTAAGCATCCTTGTCTACATGCCTCTGAGCAGCTGTCAAGAGGCCTGATTTAGGCCAGAATGGACACTGCCTTCTGCAAGACCCCCCTCAAGCTACAGCCTTCCAGAAAGAAATTGTTTGTAACAACTTATCCTTGGTTGGAGTGGCAGCTCTCCTGTTCTCTCCCTGCCAGGCTGCCCAGTCCCCAGAGGTGACCTATGAAGCAGATGAGGGTTCCATGTGGACACTGCTGCTTACCAATCTGGGTAGGTGTTTGCGGTTTACTGAGCCTCCTTCCTCCCCTTTCTTCCTCCCCTGGGTCAGGGCACTGGGCCAGGACCAGATGGAGAGCTCCAGTATCACCTCCTTCCAGGGGAGGAGAATCAGGACCCTGGTTAGTGAGGTGTGTTTCTATGCAGATGGACACCTGCTGGAGCCAGATGCAGAATACGTCCACTGGCTGCTGTGAGTATCTGGTCGGGAGTGGGAGCGGGTCAGGGAATTGCAGAGAGGCCCTGGGAGCCTGGAAAGAACAGCCCCTGGATTTCAGAATTGGCTTCACCATAGGTTAACCATAGGATTTTGAATTAACCTCCTACCTCTCACCTGTGCCTCCTGAAAGCACAGGGGCCCTTGAAGATGAGTAAGGAAGGAAACAGCAGTGGCCGTCGGCTGGCTCCCACAGCCTCTTCATCTCAGAACCCACAGCCTTTCCTGTAAAACTGGGATGTTGCCACCATGTTTCTTACCTACTCTGAGGGGCACTGTGACTAAGGGGGAAAGAACTGGGAGAGGCCTCTGGCAGTTGTGACATCTCCAAACAGTCTTGAGCCGCTGGGCTTTCCTTCCCCAGGCAATTCAGACGGGGGTGCCCTTCATTTTCTTGGTGGGTCTTGGCTCTGAACACTAGGCCAGGGGGAGGTCAGGCAGACGACCCCAGCTTTGAGACTTCTGGGTAATTAAAGCCAGTTAAGTGGGAGGCTGGTTTCATTCAACTGCAGTTACAGCCTGAGGAGCAGGACCCTCTGGAGAGTTGTACCTGGGCAGGTAAAGTTGCCACCCCAGTGCCAGGCCAGGCCAGCTCTTCCGTGACCAGACCCTCAGGCCTCAGAGAGTCAGCCCAAAGGTGGTGCAGCTTTCCAGCCCGAATGACTAGGGCAGACCCCCTGGCTCCCAGGTCCTGGTAAATGGGTTGCTCGGCCTTGCTGTCATCCTTATGGTCTCTGGAATCCTTGTCCTCAGCCTCTGGGCCCCTCCTGCTCCCTCCACCTATTTGCATTATGTTTGAGGGGGTCACAGAGCTCTGCTAGAGATTGGTCAGGGTCTGTACCCACAGGGAATGACATCAGCCTCTAAGGTTTACATTCTGAAGGTGTTCTTGCCATCTCCTAGTGGCAGTTAATCACTACTTCCCTCCAATCAGAACCAACATCCCAGGCAACAGAGTGACTGAAGGACAGGAGACTTGTCCTTATCTCCCCCCCTTCCCTGCCCGAGGCACCGGCTTCCACCGCTTCGCCTTTCTGCTCTTCAAGCAGGACAAGCCAATCGACTTCTCCGAAGACACCCGCCCTTCACCCTGGTAATTTGTACCCCACACACGTCCCAGACCTCAGACCAGCTTCCCCAAGATGGTGGCTCTTGCTTTGGCCTCATTTGACCTACACCTTGAGACTGGTAGAACAGTACACCAGGCCAACCCTAGGAAGCCTGCCAGATTGCCTATGAGGGGGCAGGGCTCTGGTGCCCTCTCAGATGTTCCCCATCTTACAGCTACCAGCTGGCCCAGAGGACCTTCCACACTTTTGATTTCTACAAGAAACACCAGGAAGCCATGACTCCAGCTGGCTTGGCCTTCTTTCAGTGCCGCTGGGATGACTCTGTCACCCAAACCTTCCACCAGCTTCTGGGTAAGGGGGAGCGGGGTGGGCCTAAGCACATGAACCTTTCCTGTGTGCCTTGGTTGGAGATGGCTCCTGGCAGGCATGCTGCCCCTCAGGTGGGCAGTCCCTGGCAGGAGTCCACCCCTGGGTCCTTCACTTTTCTTGCAGACATGCGGGAGCCCGTGTTTGAGTTTGTGCGGCCGCCCCCTTACCACCCCAAGCAGAAACGCTTCCCGCACCGACAGCCCCTGCGCTACCTGGACCGGTATAGGGACAGTCATGAGCCTACCTATGGCATCTACTGAGGGGTCATAGTGTACCCACTTTGGAGGATCTGCTGGACTGGCAGGAACAGGAAAGACAGCTCCTGTGGTCTGAGCTCTGGGGTTCTGGTCCCTGCCTGAGGCAGCTCCTCTATAGGCCTGTCCCATCAGGCCCAAGGCTGGGAGCAAAGGAGGTTGTCAGGTGGGAATGGAAGGGTGTGAATAAAGATGACTCCTGCTCTTGCTGGTCTGGGTCTGTATTCTAGGAGAAGCCAGAGCCCCCTGGTGGAGCTGTACTGCTTCATGGGTGGAAGAAGGTTTCTTCTCACCTCCACCTTCAGATAGGGTCAGAGCACTATGATCCAGAGGCTTCAGAAGACACAGAAGAAGATATGGGCAGTGGGCCTTGGTTAGTCCCATAAGCTCTTCCCCACCACCCCCACTTTTTTTTTTTTTTTTTTTCCCAGTGCTGGGGATTGAACCTAGGGCTTTGTGCATGCAAGGCAAGCTCTCTACTAACTGCGCTATATATCCCCAGCCCCTATTTTTTTTTTTTAATTCTTTTTAGTTATGGAGTATGACTTCCCCTTCTTATGGTTATACATGATATCGAGTTACACTGGTCATGTATTCATATACCCATAAACTCTTGAGCTACACCAGCCCTGAGCATCGCTGCCTCTGCATGGTAGCAAACTCCTGCCCCCATACCTGGGATGTAATACCTGACCAGGCAAGGCAGCAACTCATTGCAGAGACCTCTGACCCAATCTCCACTCCAGACCAAGACCCTGGATGGCTCACTGGATGGCTAGGTGTTTCCCCCTCCCTAAAGGTCGTCTTGCAGAAGGTCAAGGGGGGAATCTATCACCTTTTCCAGAAAGATAACGGTATCACTGTAGAGGGCATGGTGCTGCATCTCAGGCATGTCAGGCTTGCTTGGTAAAAGGAAGTGTGGCGGCCCCCTTACCACCCTATTGACTTGACCACACAATTGCCCAGGGTGGCCATGGGCAAGTACTCAAGCCCCTTCTACTCTGCTCAGCCACAGGGGAAATGTTTGGGTTACCCAATAAAAATGGGGTACAGGGGCTGGGGTTGTGGCTCAGTGGTAGAGTGCTTGCCTAGCATGTGTGAGGCACTGGGTTCGATTCTCAGCATCACATAAAAAGAAATAAGTTAAAGGTCCATTGACAACTAAAAGGGGGGGGGGGCGTCCAGAATAGCTTGAAGTTCCAGACCAGGAACTCACCCTAACAGGAGGTCATATGAAGCCCGGCAGCTAGAGGGTGACGGTGTCCTCTAAAGGGGCCCTTGGAGAAGGGAAAAAAAAAAAAAAAAACTTTACTGGTTTCTTAGTTATCAGAAATTTCCATCTAACTGTTTACTTAAAAAAAATAATTACTCATAACCCAGAGAAGGGAGACGCCCCAATCTGGCAAGTGCCTGGGAACACAGTATCAGGAAAAAGTGCATCAGCGCCTCCGCTCAGGAGGGAGCATTTATTGAGCTCTAGCTGTGCCCTGGGGTCCTTATCAGGTCCCACATGTCTAATTTATTTAACTGCCCAAGCTTGCGGGGGGGGGGGGTGAAGGAGGGTCTACTCGGATGAGGTTCCTTGATGGTCCCTGGCCCAGAACCTCCAGCCCTGGCTACGCCAAGGAAGTGGGAGGCTGTCGGTCGGAGAAGGACCACGCAAGTGTCTGACCCGCGGTGCCCAGCACCTGCCCTAATGGGTGCGTTGTCTTCCTGGGCAGGGTGCTGGCTCCTCCCGCGGTAGCCACGCCCGCAGCAGTCTAGGTCCCTTTAAGAGACGCCGGCCGGCTTTCCTGCTGCCTCCGCCATGGCCGCGCTGCAGCTGGAGGACAAGCTGACCTGCGCCATCTGCCTGGGGCTCTACCGGGACCCGGCGACTCTGCCCTGCGGCCACAACTTCTGTAGGGCCTGCATCCAGGACTGTTGGCGCCGCTGTCAGAAAGAGTGCCCCGAGTGCCGCCAGCCCTTCCCCGATGGCGCGGAGCTGTGCCGCAACGTGGCGCTCAGCGACCTGCTGGAGTTGCTGCGCCCCGGCGTCGGCGCGGACCCCCGTGCGGACCCCGGCGCTAGGGCGCGCTGCCCGCGCCACGGACGTCCGCTCGAGCTCTTCTGCCGCACCGAGGGCCGCTGCGTGTGCAGCGCCTGCACCGTGCTGGACTGTGACCTCCACGAGCGGGCGCTGCTGGACGCTGAGCGCCGCGAGCGCGAGGTGACGCCCCGGGGCGGGAGGGGCCGGGCCTCGAAACCTCGCAGACGCGCGGCGCTGCGCTCACGGGCTGGGCCGGGCGGCTGAAGCAGAAGGCTGCAGACCCAGACTTAGTTATGGGGTAACCAGCCCTCGCCAGGGCTCACCAGGTCTCCGGAGCTGCTCAGTACAGCCCTCCAGTTGGTTGAATGCAAAGCCAGGGGGTTTGGAGTGGACCCCTACTCCATTCCCGGTCCCTGGTTAAATGTTGTGTGCAGCAGTAAATGCGCAGAACCCCTGCAGTATGACGGGAGGGGGAGCATACTGATCAATAAGTCTTCTGTGGTCTGTGCCCTGGAGAGGCTTAGAATCCACTTAAGGGGTCAAAGTCCCATTAAAACCTAAATATATTGTCTAACACCAGGGCTCACACCTGTAATTCCAGCAACTTGGGAGGCTTATGCAGGAGGATCGCAAGTTCTGCAACTTTGTGAGACCCTCCGAAATTTAGTGAGACCCTTTCTCAGAAATAAAAAGGATAGGGATGTTAGCTTAGTGCTAAAGTGCCTCTGCTTCCATCCCTCCATACAAAAACAAAACAAAAACCCAGCRACACCCTGAACAGCAAGCTGTATTACAGAGAGCGTGTCCTTGCAATAGACAACAAGGCAGCCCTGCTCAAGGGGGCCATAAGGAGAGAGGGGAAGTGGCCTTTAGGTGACCCATGAGGGCTGAAGGAGTGCCAGCCAGGAGGAGAAGGATCTGGAGAAGGGCATCCAGGTGCCAGGCAGCCTGGGCCACAATCAGTGGGTGGGAAAGAACAGGCACTCCTGGAGGCCTTCCAGGTCAGCAGGGGCCAGACCATGAGAGGCAGTGGGGCCTGGTGAGGAGCACACTCTCTGTAGAAACCCGGGTGGGGAACCCTTGCAGGCTTGGAACAGGAGATCAATGAGATCCCACTTCAACTTTGTGAAGATTGATCCCTATTGGGGTGTGGAGTGGGCAGGAGGTGAGACCCAAGTAGGTAGGTCCACAACAGGAATTTAGGGATAAGGAGAAGCTGAAGTCAGGGGAGAAAATCCATGAGTAAAAGTCAGAGTCCCTTGTGGAGGTRGGCAGCTAGGGACTTGGTTTCTGTCTTGAGCAAGTGCTGGGGCTAAAGTGTGCTGAGAAGTGTGAGTGGAGAGCAGAGTTTGGGACTGGGGACACCAGTGGGACAAACCAGGAGAGGGATCATAGGTATCTGTTATGATCTCAAGGAAAGCTGAACAAGAAGGAGAAAGATGGTCCCGGAAAGGAGTGGGGTCTTCTGCTGAGCCCAGGATAGAGGAAGCCCTGCCTGCAATCAAACCAAGCAGGAGCTACCTGGGAGAGTGCTTGGCATGGTGGCAGGGGACAGTAGGTTGCAGGAAGGAGAATGTGATCTGGGGTGCTCCATGCTGCTAGGAAGTAAGAGGATGAAAATGGCTTTCAGGTTGACACCATTAGTGTCTGGTGCCCTTGCCCATAGCCATTTCAGTAGGGAGGATGTTGGAATGAATTATCTGGGGATGGGGCAGACAGAGGGTGTTCTAAGGAGCGGCAGGGTGCTGGTGCATGGCGGCCAGGAGGCCCATTGGACGGGGAGGCAGAGGGTTGCCTACTTGGGGCATGCCAAGGTAGGAAGATGGGGGGACAAATAGGCTGGAACAAGTAAGGGACAGGAGGCGGTGGTCAGAAAATGAATGCCTGGAATAGAGATTTTGGATCTGGGGCTAGGGTTATCATGAGGTCACAGGAGTGAGTGGCTAAGATGGAAAGAAGGCTGTTGGAGGGTGATCCCTGTGGCTGCTGAAGCCACCGAGAATGAGGGTGAGATGTTTCTGCTCATGGCAGCCGCAGGAGACTGAGCTAGGCCCCCGAGTCTGCAGTAGAGACCATGAGACCACTGCTACAAGGAGCAGGGCCAGGGCAGGAGATTCTGCCAAATGGCACATGGTCCAGAGGAGCAGAGTTTAACTGCAAAGGGGAGTGCCATGGGGTGGCTGGAGAGAATACCCAAGGGGTAAGGGGACAGAGGCTTGTCCTTCAGGGAGGGTTGAGTGAGCCAAGAGGGGCTGTCCCCTCACTGTGGACATCCCCAGCGGGTTGTAATGCTGGAGGCAGAAGGTCTGGGCAGAAGCCACAAGTATTAGACTTAGAAAGCTCTGAGAACTGACCAAATTGTCAGCCTCTCTGGGCCCGTTTCCTATCAGTGGATACTGGTCCCACCTCAGAACGGTACTGGGAGGAGCAGAATCGAGTAGTAAGGTTCTTGACCAGGTACAAGGAACCAGTCCTAGCAGTGGCCGGGGAACAGGGACTCCTGGCATCAGCATGGTCTCCTGTTCCCATGAGAACCCATTTTGTTCCTCAAGGGAATCAGAGCAACCAAACAGAGGTCCCCCTCCCACTTGGGCCCATAGGCACCGGAGCACCCACTTGTCAGACAGCTCTGGTACATTGTCAGATGCCCTTTCCCCACGGTTTTCCTGCACCAGCAGGATTGCTCCCATCTGTTGCTTGCGGGTGGAGAAGAGGCTATTGCCCACAGAGGTAGAGGCTCTGCCCCATTTTGCTCACACTTCAAGAGGCAAAAGTGAAGCAGGAACTGGAAGTTGGGTCTTTAACCCAAGGCTTCTGTGCTGCCCGTGCACCATCTGCAACAGTGGAAGCTGAGGCCTTGTCCAGGCCTCCCTGGAGTTTGACCTTGCTCTCCTAGGCTTATGCTGAGGCTGCTGCTGTGTGCTAACCCTCTGGTCACCCCAGATTTGGGCAGCATGCAGAGGGTGCCCAGCTTCTGCTAGTGGTGGTGGTGATAGTCTCAGGGAGATTTCACAGCCAATTCTGGCCCTCTCTTGTTCATCCCCTGGATGAGCACCACAGGCCCAGCTGAGAGCCAAGCTGGAGATCACCCAGCAGCAGGCCACTCAGGCCAAGACCCAGCTCCAGGAGCTGCAGCAACAAAGCAGCCAGATCCAGGTAGGAGGCCTGCCAGTGACCATCCCACTCCATCCTCCCACTGTCCTGTGGACAGCCTCCAGATGGTCCCTGGATATGTGAGCCATCTTGAAAACACCTCCTGGCAGCAGGGAGTAAGGGCCTAGGCAGGATTCTGCCCCAGGGGGAAGAGGTTCTTCGCATCCTATACCTGAACCCAGGTCTGCCTTGGCATGGCTCAGGCCCTGGCCACCCTGATGCTCCTCCTGTGCCCACACAGAACTCAGCCTGCAATCTGATCTCGGTGGTCTCTGGCAAGTTCAGCTGCCTGCTGCAGGCCCTGGAGATACGGAGGGCTGTGGCACTGAGAGGCATCGAGACTGCCAAGACACAGGCACTGACACAGGCCCAGGATGAGGAGCGGCGGCTGCACAGCCACCTGGAGGCCCTGGCTCAATATGGCCGCAGGGTACAGGGTCTCCTGGAGCAAGTGGATGACCAGACCTTCTTGCAGGTACCAGCCTGAGGGCAGTGGACCGGGGCCAGGCTTCCCTGCCCTTGTACCTGGGCTCACTGTGGTTTTCGCTGGGGCTCTCAGGAGTCRCAGCAGCTCTTTGAGCCCCCAGAACCCCTTGGGCCGCTGACCCCTCCACAGTGGGATGAAGACCAGCAGCTGGGTGACCTAAAGGAGTTGCTGAGCCTGCTTTGTGGCCTTCTCCTGGAAGAGGGGCACCCCTCCAGAGTGCCAGCCAAGGCTGCTGACTCGGGCCCTGTGGGTAAGGCTGACCCCAGACCTCCCCCTACCTGTCTGGGCCCAGCTGTTCCTTCCACTAAGAGGCAGAAAAGGCCAGGGGTCTGCCTTGCTGGCCTCCACATCCATTCCCCTAATACTGCTTTGTTCCCTAGAGGCCCCGCGTCCCCTGGCACAGGTCCCAAGCACACGCATGCTGTGTCCGCTGAGGAGAGAACTCTGGCAGAGTAAGGAGGCCAAAGGCCTGTCTGTGTGTACTGTGCATGCATGTCTGTGCATACGTGTGAGCGTGTCAGCAGGCGCCTGCTGTGACTGTCCTGTGTGGGTCATCTGTCCTCCGGTCCTTCCCGTGCATACCTATTGCAGGATACACACCGCGTCCACATCCACCCTGCAGCAGGTGCAACCAGCATAGTGTTAAAGGACAGATTCTGATCACATAGACATTAATCTATCATGATTATCTCACTTGATACCCAGTTAGCTTATCTGTGAGCCTCAGTTTTCTCACTTATGAAATGGAGCTCATAGACGATTCCACCTCCAAAGAAGCAGTAAGGATTAAATGTTGCAAAGACACCCAGTGCTCAGCCTGGCAGACACCCCCTGCCCATGGGGATAGGATGGCACCTTTACCTACTTCTGTCCATCTCTCCCCAACAGATTATCGCAATCTCACCTTTGACCCAGATAGTGCCAATCGCTACTTCCTCCTGTCCCACCAGAACCAGCAGGTGAAGCACCATCGCCAGCCCCAGGGCCCAGCCCGGCCAGGGAACTTTGAGCTCTGGCAGGTGCAGTGTTCCCAGAGCTTCCAGGCTGGACGGCACTACTGGGAGGTGCGTACTTCTGGCCACTCAGTGACCCTGGGCGTCGCCTACCCAGAACTGATGCGACGCAAGCAGGGAACCCACACAGACAACATCGGCCGTGGACCCTCGTCCTGGGGCCTCTGTGTACAGGAAGACAGCGTCCAGGCCTGGCACAAGGGAGAGGTCCAGCGCCTCCCCAGCTTGTCTGGGCGGCTGGTGGGCATGGATTTGGACCTGACCTCAGGCTGCCTTGCTTTCTACAGCCTGGAGCCGCAGACTAAGCTCCTGCACACCTTCCATGCCCTCTTCAACCAGCCCCTTTGCCCCGTTTTCTGGCTCCTGGAGGGGAGGACCCTCACCCTGTGCCATCAGCCTGGAGCCGAGCTCCCTCCAGGGTCCCAGGAAAAGAGCTCAGGTCTCAGCTGAGGAAGGCACAGGATGGAACTCTTGGCTATGGACAGGTACCTCTGTGCCTCATATGCCCAGGTGCAGGCCAGCCTCTGACCTGGGGACCTGAGGCCAGAGTCTAAAACAACAAGGCGTTGGCCTCTGTTGAGTCAGAGGGAGGCAATGGGGAGCCCCAACTGAGTTTCCTTTTCTAGCTACTTTGAAGGGAACAGGGGCCAGAAGGGGGTGAAATAGGAGACCCTATCCCCGAGCAGAAGCTAGTTCTTAGCATTACCTGGGCCTCGCACACTAGAGCAGCGCCCGTGTAGCCTTCCAGGAGAGCATGTGGGACCAAACAAGATCTCTCAGCCCTAGTTTACCCGCCAGGAGACCATCAGATGGAAGGATCGGTCAGCACGTGGGCAAGTGAGCCACAAATGACTCCAAGAAACATTCTAATGGCTCAAATTTATTTTCCCATTACTGAACATTTAAATTGTTTTATTTTTGGCTATAAAAGTATTGCAGATGAATACTTTTAGCAGGAATTTTTGGCCATATTTATGGTTAGGCTAAATTCCTAAAGTAGACTTATTTGTCATTAACACAGTGAGCATTCATTCACTTATTTATTTATTTTTTGTTCCCAGGGACACTTTAACCACTGGGTATGTCACATCCCCAGCCCTTTTTATTTTGAGAGTCCCACTAAATTGCTTAGGGACTCGCTAAGTTGCCGAGACTGGCTCTGAAACCTGTGTTCCTCCTGCCTYAGCCTCCTGAACTGCTGGGATTACAGGTGTGCACCACTGCACCCGGCTCAGGTAATGAGCATTTGAATTTTTTTTATGGGCAAGGCTGCAGTGAAGCAGCCTTGAGCCACATGACTGCCCCCCACCGTCACTGGCCAGCCAGGTGATTTAGGCAAGTTGGCATGACAGGTACTCCAACTCTCATTAACCCAACCTGTGGGTTATGGGAATCAGATGTATGGTGGGTGTAGGTGTTGGCAAGTGTGAACTCCTTTTGATTCAGTGTGGTTTTTGCTATTCCAGAACATGTTTCCATGAAAATGTTTGTTATTTGTGCTCATTCCCAAAAAGGGGATGCTAGACCGTTTGGCAGTCTTTGCTTGTTTGGGGGACATTTTTTGTTTCTCTGGGCTGGGGATGGATGGAACCCCAGACCTTGTGCATGCTAGGCAAATGCTCTACCACTGAGCCACATACTCAGCCCAATGTAATTTTTTTTTTTTTTTTTACTTGAAATGTTCTACTTTCCTGGTCTGGGTGGTGTTTACAAGGATGTTTGCTTTTTTAATTTTTTAAAACCCTTTGCTGTGTTTTATATATTCATAAATAAACATTTCACAATAAATGTTTTGGGTTTTTTTTGGGGGGTGCATAATGGGGATTGAACCCAGGGACACTTTACCACTGACAGCCACATCCCCAGTCCTTTAATTTTTTTTTTTTTTTTTTTTAATTTTGAGACAGGGTCTTGTTAAGTTGCTAAGGCTGGCCTTGAATTATCCTGCTTCAGCCTCCTGAGTTGCTGAGATTACATGAGATTACAGGTGTGTGCCTGGCACAATAAGGATTTATTTTGGTACTGAGGATGAAATCTAGGGGCACTTAACCACTGAGCCACACAAGCCACCTTTCGTATGCAAGGTGGACCTGAAACAGAATTGAATTTCAAATAAGCCAGTCCCAAGARACTAAMGGCCACATGTTCTCTCTGATAGGTGGATGCTAATACATAATAAGAAGTCTTATGGTTTTGATATTAGGTGTCCRCCAAAAGCTCGTGTGTGAGACAATGTAAGAAGGTTTAGAGGAGAAATGATTGGATTATGGGAGTTTTAACTCAGTCAATTAATTAATCTGGATGGGACTACCTGAGTGGCAACTGCAGGTGAGTAGGGTGTGGACGGAAGAGGTGGACGCCTGGGAGAGTCCCTTTGAGAGTCTCTCTGTGCTCCTGATCACCAAGTGAGTGGCTTCCCTCTACCTGACCTTGAGCCCCAAGGAATGGCACCTGCTGTCTATGGATTGAGACCTCTGAAACCTTGAGCCCTGTAATGAGCTTTTAATCTACAGTTGTGCTGGTTGGGTCTTTTAGTCACAGCTAAGGAAGAGCTAACTAAAATAGCAGGGAAGGAAGACGAAGTGGATGAAGGGAAGGGAGGGGATGGGAGTGGGAAAGTCAGGAGAAGGAATCAGATGTCACATTCCCATGTTCACGTATGAATCAATACACGACCACGTACAGCCACAAGAATGGGAAGCTCTACTCCATGAATGTGAGGTATGTCAAAATACACCCTACTGTCACGTGTAACAAAGAAGAACAACAACAAAAAAGAAATGAATTTCATATTTACACTTGGGCCCTCTTCCCAAAATATATACATGAGAATATTCTAAAATCCGAAACACTTTATTTGCATCTCTTTTGCCGCAGTCCGGCTGCAGCAAAATAACGGGGTGGGGGGGGGGTGACAAGCAACTTGTGTAGATTGGTACAGCAGGAGTGGGAGCCGTTTCTTGTAGGACAGGAGGGGTATTTATACATTCCACACAGCTGATCTAATTAGCATAAACTAGATACAGCAGTCAGCCAATAAGGAATCTCCACACTGAATGGCTCGCTGGCGTTACTTCACAAACCACTCCCTCTGGCAAAATGCCAGGCGCCATCCTGACTTGTTTACAGATTCTAACACTCTTTCAAATAAGAGATACTCAACTTGCGTTTGGAAAAAAAAAGAAAAGAAAAAGGGCTGGGCTGTGGCTCAGTGGTAGAGCGCTTACCCGGCATGTGTGTGTGTGAGGCACTGGGTTCGATGCTCAGCACCACACATAAGTAAATAAAATAAAGGTCCATGGACAACTAACTAATATATATATATATATATATATGAAAGAAAGAAAAGAAGATCTTCCTCCCGCATCATGACCATTCCCTGGCCACTGCAAACTCCACCCTGGTATCCCTGCTCCCCACCTTGAGGCCGGCTGGATGTCCAAGAGCAGGGCTGGGCCTCTGATGACTGCCACCTGAGAAGGACCTTCCAACAAGAATCACAAGGTGGGGAGCTCTCAAACATGGGGAGGGGGTCCTGACACCAAGCAGCCAGCAGAAGACCCAGCAGGCCCTTGCTTAACAGCTATGGACTCCTGCAGGAATGAAAGGCCCAGGGAGGTGCAAGCAGGGTCAGTGAGGCCAGTGGGTCATCAAAAGCTGCAGCAGAAATGGCCAGTCTGCTAAGCCCACTGAGGGRGACAGAGGAAGGAAGAATGGCCCCTTTCTGCTTCCAAAGTGGGAGATATTTTTGGTCACCTATTCTTCTATGGATGTCCCTTCTGATCATCTTGTTAGTCCTTTCTGGTCAGTCCCGTGGGCATGCCTATGTTGCAAATATTAACCTATTTTTCTGAGTGTGGTGGCACACACCTGTAATCCCAGTAGCTCAGGAGGCTGAGGCAGGAGGATCTGTAGTTCAAAGCCAGCCTCAACAAAAGCAAGGCACTAAGCAACTCAGTGAGACCCTGCCTCTAAATAAAATGCAAAMTAGGGCTGGGGATGTGGCTCAGTGGTGGAGTGCCCCTGRGTTCAATCCCTGGTACCATATATATTAACCTCTTTGTTTGCATGTGACAAGATTTTTATGCCACTTTAATAAAGGGTCATATATAGCAGTGCTTCACCCCCATCCCCTGCTAGCCTGGTAGTGGGAATTGATCGAGGGCCACACATTCTACCCCTTTTTTACTTTTATTCTGAGTCAGGGTATAGTTAAGCGGCTGAGTCTGGCCTTGAATTTGGGAGACTCCTACCTCAGCCTCCTGTTGCAGCTAGGATTATAAGTAAGTGCCACCACACCTGGTTTAGAACAGAGCTTCTTAACTAGGTGTAGGGGCGAGCCCTTAATTTCCCCGGAAAACTTCCAACCAAATTCACTCCACCTTCTGATTCCAATGGAACCTTCCATCTCCTCTGGGCCGAATGCCCTGTTGCAGGTGAAAAAGCAGGACAGATTTGGAGTCTATTTTTTGCACTAGGGATACATTTGCGATTTCTGGTTCCTGGTTTCCCTGCCCCATCCACAAGAGCCCCATCCTGGGCTTCTGGGAGGCAGCATTAGGGTGACGGACACCTGAGGCAGGACAAGAGCAGGAGAGGCTCTAAAAACCTCACGGGGTTGGAGGGAGTTGGACCCGAGACCARAGAGGCAAAGGGTAAAGAGGACAAGGGCTGCTCTTTTCTGGGCAGGATGGGCACCGAGTGGCAACTGGGCAATGTGGCTTCTAGTGGCTCAGACAGGCAGTAAGGAGACAGTGGAGCTGCCCTTGAGATTCAGAGGGGAAAGGATCCCATCCGGGAACCCCAGGCGGGGCCCAACTGGCAACCAGGCAGGAAGCCTGAACAGAGACACTGGCAGGTCTTCTGAGGAAGCTCCAGCAGACAGACTTCAAAAATGCTCAAGTAAGGGGCTGGGGCTGGGGCTGGGGCTCAGCGGTAGAGCGCTCGCCTCGCACCTATGGGATCTGGGTTTGATCCTCAGCACCACATAAAAATAAATAAGTGAAATAAAGGTAGTGTGTCCAACTACAACTAAAAAATAAATATTTTTTTTAAATGAACAAGTAAATTAACAAATGGAAGAAAGAGTTGGGTGCCAGGAAATGGGGAATTTTTAAAAAAATTTTTATTTGTTTTAATTAGTTACACATGACAGTACAATGACCTTGACATATCATACATTTGAATCAGATGGGGTATAATTTCTC